AAATGACTGGCCAAGTAGAGAAAAATCAAACAACCATGCTAGAATGGAAATAAAGAAAGACAATGCTTTATTGTATAAACTGAAACAGAACAGGGAAGCATACTGCCAAGGAAATGAGCCATGGCGCATAATAAAAAATATTAATGGAGGATAAGGTTAGAAATATCATTAAATGTTTTGTGGGCAGCATCACAAACCATAAAAAGGCATGAAATCAAATGTACCATACTTGATACATGATTTCTATTGATGTGTGGTGGTTCACCACAGTTGATTGTTGCCATAAGGAGACAAACCCTTGATCACACAGTCTTTCACATGCACACATGGATGGAGTGTTCTTCAAATACAGCTCTTTGTTTTAGTCAGCTGTCAGTCTGAAAACAACATATGCATGCAGATAAAATTAAAAGGCAATTACATCAAGAGGTGCAATATTAGTGTAAACTACAAAATGCAAAGTAAGGATACTAACTTAAGATGAAGAGGGATAAGAAATGCTAGTATCAATGCCACTGTGCCTTTTAAAATCATATTGTCCTTATCTGTTAATTGCTTAGTTGTTATACTGTTTAATTCTGGGATATAGCCAGGTCACCAGTCATTAGTCCTCCTTTCACCAAACCTCAACTTCCCCTTTCCCTCTGACCTCTGAGGCAATGAGATGGTTAACTTGTGTAACTGGCACCTGACCAGAATTGTATTACTAAGTCATTTGATCTATGAAGCAGTGACCTCAATATTGCATTATTAGTGGCAACATAATTTCCTGCTGCATTTTGTTGTTGACATACACAAAATGGAAGCTTCAAGGGCCTAATGGGGGCCATTAATCCAAATGAACAAAACAGATTGGCTCTTTACAGAGGGAGCACACTCCAAATTTGAGGATTCCACGATGTACAGAGGCCTAAGGCAGAAACTGACTCATGTGCAGAGACCTGACTCTGTACATCTGGCAGAAATTGAGGATGTTTCATCCGTTACCTATGGGATCTGTGGAGAAATAATGAGTATGTGGGTACACTTACCCTATATAAACTATCCAGTGCAGTCATATGGCTAACTTTAAAATGTGCTGTAGGTGATAAAAGCCAGTTAGTGGATGAAGTGAAGTTAAAGTGATAGCTAGAGGCCTTGGCACCTGTGTGCCATGCAGTAGAAAGCTGCACATCTGGGGCATCTCATTATTTTCACCCAAAAATTTAACTATACGCTTTTCAAAGTCCTTTTGCCCCCAACCCCCTTTTCATAAAAAGGAAAAACACACAAAAAAAAACAAAAAAAAACACATCTTTCAGATTTGTCTAGCCCTAGAATGAACGATGAGAGTTTGCAAATACCACTCAAGGTTTAGTGGTCAAATTAAACATTAAGTGTATGACCTGCTTAAGGTCTGACAACAATGTATTAGAATAGTTTCTATGGTTGGTTTCTGTTTGTCAGATTCAATTCTTTTGCACACTCTCTCTTGGCTCTTGATGATGAAAGAACAGTGACAGTGGTTTAGTGGAATGAATAGCCTCACAGGAGACTTGGAGACTGACTGAATAACACATCAGGGAGGCATCAGAGGAGTTACAGTGGAAAGATTTGGTTCAAAATAACAATAACTTCATCTCAGGAGCTCTGAAATCCAGATGCAGCTTAGCAAGCCTTACTTGAACACCGAACCTTGCAGTGCATTTGAATTATCCATTCTTTTATGCAAGATTATAACTATAAAACATTTGTTATGTGAATCTGGTTGTTTAATTAGCATGAATTGTTTCCAGATGTGTTTTTCCTTCTTCTCTTTCTCTTCATACGGATTTATTATAGAGATGTTTACACTTTTAGAATTGATCATGATGAGGAAATTCTAAAGGTGCAGTGATCTTTGTAAATAAGAATGAACCCATTTGATAAAATGTTAGGATAAAATATTAAAAGAAACAAAATATGAGTGGGTTTTATTGTTTGTCTCATATATTGTAGTTGTGAACTCAATAAAAAAAGTTGATGTTTTTTGGTTTACCACTGACCGCACTGTGATTTTAAGCTGAATTGTGTCCATGAAACCACTGAGTTCAGAGAGCGCGGGCGAGAAAGAGAACGAGATGAGTGAGAGAGAGACTTTAAAAAAGTAATAGCCATGACTTGGAGACTAGATGTTTTGTGTCAAAGAAAGAGCTTACAGGATCCAAAAGTGTTTCCGGTGAGCCAACCGAGTCTAATTACTCACAATGCTGTGACATTAGTCTTCAAAGGACATGAAAAACAAGACTCCTTTCACATGTCCATCAACTTTGTGTAAGACTTTACGTGCCCAAATGATTAACGAGAAGCTGACCACATCATGGCCAAGGAAGTCTGCTTCCGCCAATCAATGACAGTGAAGAATGGCTTATAATGCCCTCTGTGCTAATTATTTTGCGCTTTGATTGCCTAATATTTTCCCACGAGTTATAATTACATAATAATGTGGATAAATCTATATAAGCCAAAATTATTTAATTATTTAATAATGTAAATTGACTCTGGTCAGTGTGCATTATATAAACAACACTATTAAATTCAGGCCTACAATCACAGACGCACTAGTGATATTGCTGCAGCAAAATGTACATGCAGGATGTAAGAGGCTGCTACAAACTGAGTTCCCAATGTATTGGCTTCACTGACGTAGCCGTACTATGAAATTGAATACATCAACCTTTTAATAAATCTTTCCTTTATGAAGCTAACACTCTGTGTTGATGCAAGCACTCCTGATTTCTTTTATTACATACAAAAACAATACCAACAATAAAACAGTCACACCAGCCATACTCCTAATATAAAAGAGTTTTGTATATTTATCCACTGGGTGGACACATTTATTTTTCTAATATTGTATTGTACATGTTGTAATATGTGTCACATGATCTTTCCCTTGAATACTTATCTAACCGTTTCAAAAAAGCTAAATGATAGTTATGTAAAAAAAAAAATGTTGTCTATTATAGCTGATATTGATATTGATATGATAGTTTAAATATCTGATAAGTCAGCTCTGCTGTAAACATATAACATAAGCATTTCTGAATCCCTTAAAGGTCCAGTGGAGAATCTATTGGCAGAAATGGACAGTAACATTCATAGGTATGTTTTCATTAGTGTGTAATCATCTGAATATAGGAATCGTTGTCTTTTTTACCTTAGAATAAGACATTTTTATCTACAGACACCACCGGTGGACTTCCATGGCACCACCATGTTGAACCGCCAAGTTTCTACAGTAGTCCAGAACAGTCAAACCAAATACTCTGGATTTTACCATAGTTTATCCTACACACTTCACAACCCATTCTTAGTCCCAGTTTGTCAAATACAGATGTGAGCAGTTTTCAGTTAGTTGCAATCTGCAGCTTCATCACTTGATGCCACTAAATCCTACACACTGTAAATGTGTTTATCAGACTTGTGACCAATTTATTTATTTATTATACCAATATTTACTGAATTTATCATTTTATTATTGAAAAATACAGTAAACTTATCAACAACAGTATTGGGCTAGGTACTTGAAAAAAAAACAAATCATATTATTACATACAACCTATGGCAACTTTGGATTTACCAGGAGTTTAATTTCTCCTATTTTATTAGAAGCTAACCGCCTCCCCACACCTCCAGTCCCTGCGCCAAGCTAACATGTCTCAACCAGTCTGTCCACTGAACAAAGATGGACAAAACTGATATTAACCCTCCATTAAACACTACTTGTTACTGAAAAAAGTAATTATATAACGCGTTACTGAATAATGGGCTACTACTTAGTGCCGCTTGTCAGTGCTCTCTGGTGGACAAACTTGGAGACACCAGCCTAACTGTGTTGCAAGTTCTTGTCACTTACCTGCGGCCAGCCATTTAGCCCATACAGATACTATTAATGATCAGAAGTGGCAAAATACACATATTCTTTACCCAATTAGTACAGACACTACTGATTTAACTCCCTAGTAAAGATGAAAAAGAAAGATTTAAAATGCACTCAGAGTATAAAAGTAAAAAGTACTCTCTTGGTTTCACTGAAGGACATTTCCACTGGCTGTTATGTGGAAGCTAACTGAAACTTCTAATAGGGTGGAGTCTTCCTCTCTTGTGTGTTTTGTCTTGTTACACCTAGGAAGGTATACAATGGTGCAAATCAATAAATAGATAATCAATAAGTCCCCTCAAAATGCATTAAAAACTAAAGTTACAAGCCTGTTTTAAAAATTTAAGGAGTACAGTAAACATGTAGGGGGTAAGTGTAAAAAATATGTCAGAGGGATACCTGGAAAAATAAGTACAGCAACTAAGTAGCCTATTTGTACTTTGTTACTTCCAACCTCTGTCAATGATAAGCTAATATATGTCAATATATTGCCTGCAATTGCTCTAGCTCTACAGTTTATTTATAGTGTAAAACAAATATGAACTCACTATTTATTTATACCACTCAGACACATCACAACTCCCAATAATATTAACCCAACATAGCAATATCATTATTTTTATCATAGGATATTTTTGAAATAAATAGATTAGTTTCTTCAAAAGGGTGTGTGCCATTCACTTTCTGTATGAGCAATAATCACCACTGAGACCCCGAATTCAAGAAGATTTTGTTGCTTTTGTTGATTTTAACATCCAGACTGGAAGGCTACTTTTTTTCCAGGCTGTTTCAACAGTGCAGCGCTCAAGCCTGCCCCATGTGTGGTGGTCGAGGCGCATTCACCATTGGCTCGGGAGCCGATAGGGGCGTTACTTCACGGTTGGTGAGTGCCTAGGGTGCACGGGGTGTTCTAGGGATGGCTAAGGGAAAGCGTACTTGGCACTGATCCCTCCTTTCAGTATAGACTGCAATTGACATTAGGCAGCATTTTTTTTTTCTGTCAGGGGGGGAATGAATGTGTCATAGATAGTTCGCGTTTATAGAGGGGGGCAGCAGTGGATGCATGTTTATGTTCAATGCGATGAGGCCAGTGCACTTTGCAAGACTTGCGCTGCAGAGACCCTCCGCGGATCCCACGACCTGTTGCTGACAAGCCGCGGAAAAAGGAGAGGGAGAGGAGGGGGGGAGCCGCTCGGGAGAGACTGAAGGTACTGCCTTGGAGACGACTGCCCCGGGTTTCTTTCGCGGAGGGAAATCATGCAGTTTGCAATCTGGCTGGTTGGACTAATGTGTCATCTGTCAGCGCTTGTCCGGGACACTTTGCAGCATCGATTGCATCCGAAACAAGGTAGCGTTTTTGTTTTTATTTATGAGTGACTGCTGGAGGTGTTTTTGCAGTAATCTGCGGTGTGTGTGTGTGTCTGTGTGTGTGAGGATGATGCCTGCCTGGAGTAGGGCTGTCAGGCTACAGTTTGCATGTATTACATTGTCACTACTTTGTCTCTGTAGCTGAAACTTTCTATGACTTTTTTTTTTTTTTTTTTTGCAGAAAACTTCATCAAGCAGCTGTCATCGTACGAAATCATCACCCCTGTCCGCGTGAATGACTTCGGGGAATCATTCCCCCACAAAGTGCACTACAGGAGGAGACGGAGAAGTTTAAATGATGACCTGTCGCGCTTACGGGTTCACTACAGGATTGATGCGTTCGGGGAGCGCTTTCATCTCAATCTGACCGCACACTCCGGCTTCATCGCCCCCTCTTACACAGTGACACACTTGGGAGCGGAACAGAGCAACGCCACGGACTCCCACTCCCATGACTCGGGCGATATGCGCCACTGCTTTTTCCGCGGACACGTCAACGCCAAGAGCGAGTACCCCGCCGTCTTCAGTCTCTGCACTGGCCTAGTGAGTATCAATACTTTTAAAGTTTTTTTTTTTTTTTAGGTTTGTTTTTAAGATAACCGAGCCATGCTGCCACGCTTTCTCCAATTTCAGCGGATTTCATCCATGCATGTCCCAAGTAAAACCCAGCTTAGGTGAGAGTGTGCATGAGTGTAACAAGAGCAAGTGTTAGTGGACTGGTGTCACTGAGGAGGAGAGCGTGCAGCCCCCCCTGCATCTCAGTGCCTGTGGTGGTGATGCTGCTATTGCGCAGTGCAGTCTGGGCATCAGGGTGGTGTAGTATTTGGAGACTGAGGGGGGGTTGATGTGGCAACAAGCAATCCACTCTGCTGAAGTGCTCTTGAGCAAGCCGCACAAAGAGCCCTGAGATCAGCTCTAGCTAAGGCTGCTGCTCCTCTTTGGTTGACCCTAGTGTGAGGCCCAGCAAATAGGGCAGATGTACCCTACAAAGATCAATAATGTGGCCAAGTTCTCTTGTAAAATAAATTGTTGATCTCAGTAGGACTCCCTGGTAACATGAAGGTAAAATAATGTGCAGCCTTTTTGTTTCAAGCCTTTGCTTTTACTTTGTCAGCCGCTTTGTTGCTGCTTGCTACAAGACACCTCTAAATCTTTACAAAATAAAGTGGAATAACAGAAGGCACGCAAAAGCGAAGTCAGTTGGTTGATCAACAGAAATGTTTGATAATTGATTAATAATTTAAGTAATTTATCAATCACAAATGCAAAACATTCGTTGGTTTCAGCTACTCAAATGTGACAACGTGCTGCTCTTCTTGGTTTTACACTGTAATTTGAATACATGTGTATTTGAGTCTGTTGGTCAGACAAAACAAACCATTTGAAGGTGTACCCTTAGGGTTCTTGGAACTTGTGATGGGAGTTTTCTCAAAGTTTTACACTTTTATAGACTAAATGAATGATTCACAGGGTAAACAATCATCATATAAGTTGTTAATGAAAGTAATCATTAGTTGCAGCCTCATGCAACAGATATTGTCATTCAGTGTAAAGCAGCTGTTTGCTTTTGATTACCCCTTATCATATTAGTTAGATCTTATGGGGCTGTAATGGAGTTATTGGGTAATAATGATTTTACAACCCCATTATACCATATGAGGATCCTGATGCCCAAGTCCTTTTGTTTGCTGACTACTGTGTGAGAGAATCTGATAAGTGTTGAAGGGGATGACTTCATGGGTCACATAAGGTTACTGCTCCAGGGTCAGGGGGTTGACCTTGGTTGTGCCAGCCAGATTCTGGACTCTGCATGGTGGGGGTGTTTGGCTGGCCACAGCAACACAGACAGGAAGACCATAGCCTTGGAGTCTACCTCCCCGTCACAACCCCTATCAGTGACATAATCCTTATTTTAGATAGGTGCACTGTGTACAGTACCAGGATAGCATGTCACAGAATAGGTATCAGCTGCACTTTGAGGTTTTTTGAACTAGTACATTCACAATGCATGTAGTGATTGCACTCCAGTTGTAACTTGGCATAATGATAAAAAAATCACAATGTATTATGTGTATGTTGTGCTTTGTGGGGATTAACTCCAATTCAGAGTAGCTTTGGAGCAAAGAGACCACCAAATAAAGTGCTTTTTCATGTGCGTATAGCAATTTAAGATGTGAGGTATGCTGGAATGATCAGGGTAATAAGCCTTTAATTGCCCCTCTGCCCAACTTTGATGTATGACTCGCTTATCCAAACATGTTTGCATCCTTTTTCAAGCAATCTTTGTTGCTTATCCGCATCATCACTCATTGAGAATGACAGGACAATGGAGACAGCACCAGAGGCTATTGGGTCATAAATGTGTCCGTATCTGATCACTGGGGCTTAATGGCCAGGCACATTTTGTTGGGATGAGGTCATTAAGGAATAATTAAGCCCTAAAACAAAGGGGTCATTCTAGAAAAAGCAGGTTCCCCTTTCGTCCAGAGTTGCTCAAAGCCGTCCCCAGGGGGGAATCAGGGGGGGCGGGGTTGAGGAGCTTTTGGCCTTTTCAAAGTGAGCTTTGACTGGCAGAAAAGAGGAAAAATGCTGTGAGGAGAAGACAACTGCCAATGAAGGTTGTGTGGAACTTAAAGATTGCTCACACCGTGGGAAATGTTAGCTCCTAAAGGAGCTTGTTCTCTCAGTTCACTCACATAAAAGAAGTCACCACAGTGAGTCAACCTGTCCTGAGAAAGGACGCTGTCTTCATTCCAGTACCAAGCGATGTACCTCTGTGTAAAGATCAGGCTCATGACACCTTTATGTTCTATTTAACTTTAGTGATTGACTGCAACGGTACGTCACTTTTGCATGACTCAGCAGCCCCGGGGTTTAGAAAGTGTCTTTGGGGGATTTAATAAAACAGATGTGTGCCAGCAGTCATTCCATCCATGTCATGAGTGTGACCTCGCTTCAAATAGGAGTCCCTCATCTGTAACGTCCAGTTCAGCACCCACTACTGAACAGCAACCATTGTGTCTGTCCAAACTTTTGCCAGATTTGCTGCTGAGCTAATGCTGGGAAACCCTGAAACTCTGCCCCCTCCATTGACTAAACAGAGCATTTGTCTGTTCAGCCTTCCGTTAACACCACATGAGAACTTTAGAAAGGCTCAGCCATAATCGTCTAATTAAAGTTAACTCACCATAGATAGTGATTTACAAAATACAGGTAAACATCTACTAGCTGTTACATCATTCATTACATTTAAAGCACTACAACAGTAATTGTAGCAAGACTGCCACTGTCTCATATTTAATTAAAAGGAACTTGATGCTTGATGTCTCACAATCAGATGAGACTGAACAGAATGTTTTAAATTATGGGAGTGCTCCACAAAAAGGAAATTGTAACATCTACAGTTCTGTGACAAATGGGCGATCTCCATTAAGAGTGTTTACTAAAGGAACCTTGGGGTAAGTTTGTCAAAAGGTCATGAATGAGCTTCGAAACTCAAAATGAATGGTGTTTTTACATATAAGATGGTTCTTATTACTAGCTTTTTGCTGCTCAGTCACTGTCAGATTGTTATGACACATAAGGAAATTCTCTTTAAATTCGAGAATTTCTAATGTTATTTATGCATTTAACATCATTTTGAGAGACCAAACAGATACAATTTTAAATGGAAATAGACAACATTTTTGTTTTAACTTTAACTTTATCTACCAAATACGTTTAGATTCCCTACCTCGCTTTCACTATGCAATTTTGTCGGGCACGATATTTTCCAGTAAAATGTCAGTTCAATTTATGAGACTTATACATAAACTAACGAACTAAACTCATGCTTTTCCAATTTTTTCTTTTATTGTTAACGTTATTCCCTCCTCCACCCCGAAGCCAACCCCTGCTGTATACTTGTTTGTGCGAAGCAATAACATTGTGACCATTTCAGTTTACCTCTTCAGTGTGAAAGAGGTGCAAACAATAATACCTTCAAGTGAGTCTCTGTAGCCCATAGGAGTGGACGTGAGTGTGAATTTATATCTCAGTTAAATTTGTAACATAGTCTATGAAGGTTGAATCCCCACTTTCTGCTCTGTACATGCTGGGATGGGCTCCATAATGGGATCCTGAACAGGAAAATAAAGTAGTGAATAAATGGAAACATTTTAATTTTGACTGACATAGTTTAGTGAATACTTCTATTTCAGTTTCAACCTCTCTTTTTATATAGGTTGTGGGACTTACAAAATGATCACTGCACCTAATGCAGCCTTTGTCTACGGAAGACATGTCTTTATCAGCATGTGCTGCCATGCCTCAAAATCCCACACTGTAACTGTATTCTGTCAATACTTTGATTCATTCCTGCATTTCAGAAAACAGTATACACAGTTAACTCATCCACACTGGCTTGTCAGAATTGAAGAAACTGTACTATTGCAGCATTCGTAGTAGAGTACAATAGGAGACGTTGAGGCTCTGAGCTTTTTTTTTAGTGGTATGGTTGTTTCTATCCTGTGTCATGCTCTGAACACATGTAGCACTCAAGGCCTGTAACACATTTAAGGAAATATGGTGCATACGTGCAAGCCAGCTAATCCTTCACTCTTTGAAAGGCGAAGAGGAAAGGTAGACATGCAGTTTGTACACGTTTTCCATATCCGATTTGTGTGCTTTCCATTGTCTAACATCCATCACCTGTGGGGACGGTTATGGAATAATGTTGCCTAAAGATAACATTCCAGTGTCCAATATCCTGTTTAAGTGTGCACATGAAATTACCATACAAACACAATTGTGCCTCTGAGTGAGCTAAGAAGCTTTGTGAGGGACTGAGCTGCCAAATCAATATTAGCATTCCTCTGTCAGCAGCTCTGTCCATATATGATGATGTCACTCCTCCCATTGTCAGGTTGTGTGGAGAAATGCATTTTCACAGTCAGGAAAAGCACTCCGACTTAACAGCCTGCGTATAAAGGTGTGAAAAGATTTACCTAATCATAATGACGTACTTGTGAATCGATAAATGTATAAAGTCTTAAAAGGTGTCATGGTTACAATTTCAGCAATGACTGACAGTGAGCGCGTATATTCTCTGACCTTTCTGAGTCAGCATGTTATTTTCATGTGCATCTGTCAAAAAACAGCAATGTTCAAAAGCATGGAAATAATGTGCACAGTGCCCAAGGGCAACAGAGAATGACTGCAATTAGACCCCAACCTCTTTAAATGAAACTATGCCCTTATCTGTAAATGAAACCTACTCACAGTATGTATGTACACATGCAAGCGCATGCTCCATACCAAAGCCATGAATGACATCTCTTTTTTTTTTCCTGCTCTAGATTGGAACTTTTACAACACAACATGGTGAATACTTCTTGGAGCCTCTTTTAAATGCTGCGGGGGAGGAATATGACGAAGAACACAACAAACCTCATCTTGTCTACAGACATGAGAGGAATAAGAACATCTCCAATACTGACCACAACACAGAGCCGTGTGCTGCCTCAGGTAACAAACTACAGACTGCATGTAACCACTGTCTGTCTGACTTTTGCCCGCAAACATTTAGCTTCTGATGACCTGCATTCACTTTCTGAGCCACGGCAATAAACACTGCCCTAAAATGTAAATTATACTCAGTCACGATCTTTGGCTTGCAGGACACCCAAGAGATTTCAAGCTTGATTAAGGGGTGTTACTGAAAAACTCTTCAACTTAATTAAACAAAACGTGCTCCAGCACTGCCTGGTGTTTTCACTCATGTTCTGCTGGAACATTCAATCCCAAGTCTGCAGCAGGAGCTCAGAGGGAAGGAATAATTACTTTTTAGTTTGCAGTTGTGATGAAAAGAACTGGAGAGGTTTTCCGCTTGGGAGGCTACTTGAAAGTTCCCCCGTTTTCATTTGAATTTTTATGGTTGAGGCTTTTGGGTGGTGGAGAGGCCCTTAAGAGAAAGCGGTGTGTCCGAGCGTAGTTCTACCACGATGGAAGGCTTTAGAGTCATCCTCGCAGAGAGCTCCGTGGGCGGCCTTTGTTGTGTGATACCATAAATCTTTTATGTGCAGACTGCTTGATTTGCTTGTTGTCTGAACCCGCCATTGTCGCCTGGTGGTGGCCATTGTGTGTGGCGGCAGTTTAAAGAACTTGGACTGACCTGATGGGCCAGGCCAATACCTCCTTAATATGCTTTGCCCTTTCACTCTCAGTCTGTGTGTGGTAAACAGAGAGTGAGAAATCTGGAGGGTCTCTCAGCCCCCACTGAGGCTCTTTTAAATATACTCTCTCTCAAGAACCAGGTTGGTAAAAGCTTGGTGAATGATCCCTGACTTCTGATGCCTATTCTCATCATTCGGTTATTGTTCATTTTTTAGCCAGCTATCCTTTAATAATTACTTAACCATAAATGAGATGTTTCATCTCATGATCTCAACTATGAACTGATATGGTGTACAGCAGGAAACAGTAGGGAGGAAGATACGTATATGGATGAGACACCTGTAGGGCTTCATCAAAGGGTAGCAGGTAAACAATGAGCAGTAGGATTAAAAGAACCAGTGAGGCTTGGTTAGGACTGTGAGGTGTCCCAGGCTGTAACTCCTCAGCTTTATCAGATAGGCTCTACTCCAGATGCGGTGATAAATGGCTCTTTGAAGGCCATACTGAGCCAAGACTAACAGGCCTGTCCTGTCTTTTTATGGGAATGAGTGCAGTACACGCTGCTCATAGCAGGTTAGATATAAACACTGGCTTAGTGTGTGTTGTTCTGCTCGTAGTGACTACTCCTGGTATTGTGTTTGGACATTTGCCTCTTGGCTTTGGACTTTTAAATGTGTTAAAATCTTTGAGAAAACACACATCCTGCTCTCTGTATTATGGTTTTGTGCGTGTATCTTTTCCCTTCTTTATTACATTGTACACTATGTATTAGTACGTCTGTCTTTCTTTTTCTTGTGTTGAAACTAAATCAGTGTTTAAATATGGTAAAAGTGTTTAGAAATACAGGAACATCAAGTAGAATCCTTGTTTCCCAAAGCTGATCCATGCTTCTCAGTAGCAGATTATGGAAAGTAAAATAAGTTAATGTACCGTTTTTGATGAGAAATGCCATTATAATTCAATTTACAGAACACCACAAGCTCCCACCTACATAATGGCCACAGCGTTGAATCAATACCTCTTAGATGTAATGTATTGTGGGGCTGTTGTACAGGACTGCATTTAATTTAGCTGTACTTAATAAACCAGTCACTCAGGGGTTAAAAGAAAAGATGCTTTTGTCTGCAAGGTTGTTTAATTTTATTTCAGTTTATTACATTTCTGTCTTCACTATAACCCCCCCAAAGCAACTGATTCATAGCAAGTTGAGAAACAAAGGTTTCTGATTTATCTCATCACATAAATGATAGACTGGAGAACCTGTGGTGTTAGCGGGGGGCAGATTCCTTTCCCAGTATCTCTACTTTTTGAGGCGCTATAAAAGCACTTTTTGTCAGATCAGTCATCTTTTGGCCCTCTCTCTTGTCTTAAATCAAAATTGGGAGCTGGAGTTCTGAAATGCCAACTATCTCAAACACATGGAAATGCTGAATGGCCAACAATGCCTCCAATCTACTAGCCAGGCAGCCTTTTCCTTCTGTAAAGACATTGTTTTGCAAGACCTACTCACTGTGGTGATGATTACTCATCTGCCTTTCTCTCGCTGTGCTCCAAAAGAAAATGACAAAGAAGAAACAAGCTGTGTTTTATCAAGCAGACCTCCTGAAAACAAAATGTGTATCAGCAGAAAGATACCTCTGGTAAGATAAGCTTTTCCCTCAGATATGATGTCTCAGTTCTTCCTTAGTGTGCTACAGACAGTGCCAGAACAACAACTGGAACTTCTGTATCTATATAAGAGTTTCCAAAGTTTGTACAGTCCCTGCACACATCTGCAAAAAGTGTTGAAAGGAGAGGATGTCTATGTTTCCACATGAATTTAACAAAGATGAACTCTTGTTTTAAAATTTGCAGTTGTCATCTCTGACACGCACAAACGTTGACTTTTTTGTACCTGTACCGTCACTACTTGTGAAGTGTCAGAAACAGTGCAAAGATAAGGGCTTTTAAAGTGTTACCTTGATGGAAAATTATGTTTTGTTATTTCAGCAGTTGTGACATGGCTGTATACCTGTCTTCAGCTGCTTTTCTTCACTGTGTGTGTTCATGTGCTGTTGATAAAGCACCACGGGATCATTCTATGTGCTGTGTGGAATGGATATGAGTTGAAAATGCATTTTAAAGAGTGACTACACTAGAAACCGCCACAGATTAACACTGGAAATCCGAAATGTAAGAGTGAATCTAGTCTTAACAACATGACCAAGAAATTTGTTCTCATTGACTGACATTGCAAGCAACTGTATCAGTCTTCTGTCTCTGTCAGCCGACCTGGGTGGCTTCCCTGCTGTTTAGAATACCTCTAGTGTAGAGAGCTGTTGAGTGGGTGATTAATGTTTTAAAGTCACAGAGTGCCTTGTTGTGCCTGGTTCTGGCTTTTAAAAGCCTCAGGGGAAGAAGCTTACTGGGCTCAAATCACAATACTGCTCCGACCTTTAATGACACATTCTACGGGGTATCTGTCTCTGAGCTTGCATGTGAATCCCTGCGTCGTCCTTCGATAGAGATAGCCACTAGGATGAGGGTGGCTAAAGATAGGGGCAGACTGTTCTCTCGTTCTCTTCCCTTTGCTTTCTGAAATCCATGTGAAGACAAGCAAGAGATGGAAGGAAGGGGAGCTGTGCAGTATCTCTTTCTCACGTCAGTGGCTTCATGTCTAAAGCTGTGGGGTGTCATATTTTGTCTGAATTAGAAACAGTGAATTGAATACAGACAGCTTGACAGCAAACATTCCCAGCTGTAAACCCAAACACCAATGTTCCAGTGTTGGCTCCCAAGCGTTTCACCCCATTTCTTGATGGCTAACGGAGGGCAGCTGGGACAGTGAAGTGACTGGCTTTGATGCTGCAATACTTGGCACACATGGCATCAGTGCCCCCTGACCCTCAACACAATCATTGTATAGGATTCCCCCCTTGGTGCCCACTGTGTATACATGGTAGTTCAAATGCTAGCATCAAGTTTTTGGTCAATGGGTTCATTTACATGGAAAAATGCCCTCCCCCGCCTGGGGTTTGAACTAGCCGACTTGAATCGCTGCCCGCTCTCCCTTTGCGCTTTCATGTATGTGAATGGAAGCACTTGTTGATTGTGACCTCACTTCCCTCATTGTTTGGAGTCACTCACTGGACGGGTGGATGCGACCTTGAGTTTTTTCCTTCCTAGAGGTGCGTGGTTACTGGGCTTGCTGGCTTGTTTGCTGGGCCTCAGTTGGAACTATACATGCATTAAGCACTTTGTTTTCCTCTTAACTCCAGCTCTTGACAGGGGTCAGGAAAGGTGGCCAGCCAGAGTGTGATGGACGGGCACTGATCTTTCAGACAACCCTTTTCACCTTTAGGGTCTGGCTTTAGATGGTGTGGAGCTTTTGAATGTCAGATGGCTCCAAAAGGCTTAGGCTTACTCTGTGCCCTCATGCCCCCCAGACAGACTGAACCTCCCCTTATTGCAGGAAGCACCTATTGTTGTTTGTTTTTGGCCTTTTGTGTGAATGCATAGATGTGTTGTGCTTGTGAGTGTGTGTTTGCATCCGTGAGGAGTGCATGTCATCTTGTCCTGTCGGTGGACAAAGTGTCCTGCTGAGTTTTTGGGAATTGCTGAGCAAGCAGTGCTGAGGAATTGAGAAAGGAGCTCCTTTCTTCATTTGTTTGAGCAGTCCCGGCAGTTTTGCTCCAGAGCTTGGCAGAGGCCCCAGCTTTTTCCCAAGCTCCCACTGCACGCCTTTCTTCTTTTACACCTGCTGCTTTAAAGTAGGTTTCTCACCCACTGCCTTGCTACTGGCAAAAAAAGAATCAGAAATTCTTTTGATTGATTTATTGTTCTCTTGAATGGACATAGGCTTTTCTTTGGAAAGCCAAGAAGATCATGTTAGTCTTAATTGTGATTGTCACTGTGTTGAAAGCACTGTCTTCAGCCATATTGTATATTAGTTTTGCATAATGTGCAAGTTTTCTCTTCAGGCATGATGCTTTGTCTCATCATTGCCGCATATTCCACAACATTGCATGACAGATGACATAGTCTATTTCACTCATTGTCATCGGATGTTAAGATAAAAGATACTCTGGACTGGGCTGAACAGGGCTGGGCAGCTACAGACAGTCTATAACTTTAATAGCTGCCACGTGTCTGCCTGCCCTGAGGCTTCAGCCCTATTGAACCAAACGTGTTGTGTTGTCTCGGGAGTTCTGACAGATTCCAGCTGGGGCTATTTTCTGCCACTGTCTACTGTCTGGGCATTCTTAACAGATGGGGGCTGATTGGAATGGCCAGAGCAACTTGAGTGACACTGACTGACTGCATGGTGGCATGGGTGACAGTCAGAGGTGAGAGGGGGTGACAGGTGAGCGACAGATTCCCACTGAGATAGACGGGGGATAGGCAAAGCTGAAAAGTGGCCAGTGCAACATCAGTGTCATCGCCTGTGGCTCTGGCTGTTTGGAATGAAGTACTGGTACATTTTTCTTTATAAGGCCTTATTACAAGAACTGCCTTATCGTTTTTGTTTTCTACTGACTCCAAGAAGTTGGTAGTTTAACATTCGATCACGTGGACAAATTATGTAGATCATTCTTAAAACCAGCGCTGTGTGTGCTTTAAGTGCTTTTAAAATTCTTTCACCCGTACCTTGGTGTAAGCTACAGTCTCCTTAAACTAGATTATTTTACAATCATGGAAAACAGGATTAAGGACTATTTGACCACTGAATGCACATGCCCTGTTACTGAATACTGCGTCAGTACTGAGTCATTGTTTAATGTTTGTTTTAAGCCTGTTGTTCTTCTATATGCAGCTTTATGATTTTGAATCTCAGTTGGAATATTCCTGGTAAAATAAAGGTAAAAAAAAACAACAAAAAAACATCAGCTATTAATCTGCAGTATGTAAGGATGCATTTCTTCAAATCTGATACTCAGAAACTCACAGTTTGATTCTGACAAAAGAAAACACTTCGGGCCCCTGCCCATCATTAAGGGTCCTGATCCATAAGTAGTGTTTTGTCTCCTTGGAGGAGGTCAGCTACTCCAAACACATTCTTCAGCTGACCACCATGCTGTCTTTAGCATGTCTCTGAACTGAAAATAACAACTGAACTCAAAGAGCACTGTAAGTGTACAAAGCTCAACATCTTCCAATGAGGTCACAAACCATGCCACTTCACTTTTTAAAGCCTTTTTCAGCAGCAAAAAATAGCTGCCTCTGCTTCTCTCTGCCACAGAATTGCACTTAATTGTGCCTCTATCTGCAGGAGTTTCAGCATTTTTTTAAGTTGTATTGTCAGTCAAACTGCAGTAACCAGAGTGTCTGACCTCGTATAGAGCCAGGGCGCTACCTATACTCAATGTAAGGAATACTGTCTATTTAATTGGCACCCAGGGAACAGGGCGCTTTAACTCTCAGCGAGCCACTGTAAAAGAATGTTAATTAGTTCAACAATGAAATGCAGGTTCCCCATTGTTGGTCTCTTGGCATTGATACTTTTGACAGAGAACTCAAGGAGAGTCAAAGAGCAACTCTTTGATCTAGATTGAAATCTCAATGAGATCCTTTTGGACAGGCTGGATGTACATGAATGGGCTTAAACAGAAAGTGTATTTACAAGTGTCAGAATGCTTCCATACCTTAATGTTTATGAATGAGTAAAAGTGTACACATTCAAACCCATCTGAAATCTTTAAATATGGATGAAACTGTCCAGTCATAAGTGGTGTGGGGTACTTGGTGTGCAATTAAACATGTTATTGAGTGAATAGTTTATAATATTTGTTGTGTTTGATTATTTTTTGGAACAACCATGAGGATTTTTGCAATTTTACAAGTCAAGTGGTGTTAGAGCAGAAAAGTGAGTGTGGTCTCGGACCTGTTTCAGCTTTGTGCATGCTGGAGCCAACCAAATTACATTTATAAATGCTTGTGCTCATGCCGTGCAGGACTCTTTTATTGTTCTCTGTTATGAAAAACCGCTGGAGCTCGGTTTTATAGGCTCACGTCTATAATGACATTTTTGCTAGTGTAAAAAGAAATTAAATGTATCACATTTTGATGTTTGGTAAGTAATTTCAATGTGTAAAATCCAGAGATGCAGTTGTGTAACTGATGCTGATGTGATGTCCAGTGAAGGTGATGTCATGTCTCTGTGGGTCGGGCGGGTCAGAGCGGTCACCCCTGTCTTCCCATGGTGTAAGTAGCAGCTCACTACCTAGTGAGAGGGGGATTTGAACCTAAGGAGATTTGGGAAAGGCTGTGTGTGGCTAATCTGCACTGATTCAAAGGCTATTATAACAGAGACCATATTTTCACCTCCTCTTTCTCTTCCTCTTTTTTCATCTCACCCTCGCTTGTACTGAGTCTTAACACCAATTTCTGTAGATGTAAATACCTTTCTGTGCTTTGATAATCCCTTTGATGTCAGACTGTCTGCAGTGATGAGTCTGTTTAAGGGGTTTAGTGTAGTGGGTTTGGCCTTGGAGAGATTTTCCTGGAAAATACAAAGCTCTGTTCTGGCCCAGCTGCCCGGGCTGTGTGCGCGAGCACAGACGGGCTTGGCGCTGACTGGATGCTGGCACTGGCATAGGGCTGGGCCTCATGGCAGCAAGAGCTGTGTGCCATTGTGCCAAGGAGTCACGCTACACCTCGCGTGCCCACTGGGGGCATCGCTTGAATAATCTCGCAGCGCTCAACGGGTTTTCTTTCCTCTTTTTTGTTTTTCTCTGACCTAACAGTTACACACAATCTCTCTCTGTCTGACTGTCTGGAAAGATTGAGTGTTCAGAGGACAATGGAACTCTTCACTATAATCGGGTTATCCAAAGTTGAGGAGGTTGTTTAGGATGAGGGACTCCAAACTATGCTTGGCAGTCATATAATGTTCATTGAATATCATTTCATGTTTAATTTATATGCCACTAGATTCTAGTTCATTTTTTATAGTTTTTATTTATTTATTTTTCAGTTACTTTTACACTGAACAAAATCCACAATATGTGTGATGTCAATTTTGATGGGCTTTTTACGTGCAAGTATCAGTATTTTGAAGAGATAGATGTTCTTTTGAATTATGTCACCAGTATTAATCCCAGGTACACAATCTGGGGCTCCCTGGGAATCTTATAGCATAAAATCTCCTCAAGAATCTCAATAACCCTGTCCCAGAATGTATATATTTTTATCCATGACCAGAAAATATGTGAGGGATTGGTAGGGTTGCAACTTCATAAGTGGATAACTGCCTCAGAAAATATCAGTATCAGAATCCGTATTATTATTATTATCATCAGTTACACGTTTTATGATGCCCATGTCTATAACACATTATAATGCATTATAATCATACTTATAATGCTTTATATTGTTTTTTATAGTAATGCATAATTATAGTTATGAGCACTCAAACGTATTTCTAATTCTTTATGACAATAATCACAACACATTATAAAGCATTTTATACTGACTATAAGTGGTCATTATTTGCTTTAACAAGTGAAATGTGAGTTTATTGGGAAAATCCAAACCAGAGACCAGAGAACAGATGGATCAGTTGGATTTGAGCTCTAGTAGTACAAGTAGTACAAATGGTACTGCATAGTGGTGCATAGTTCTCTAGTTTCTGAAATAAAGCCTAAAGAAACAAATGCATGCACATCTGTGAGTTGCTACTGATAGCCAGCATTAACTAAAAGCATTTAAGGACTATAAAGTGAGATCTGCATACTCTCTGTGTGACTGTGTGAGTCACTTAACAACTGTTGCAGCAACCACTATTGGTATAACACTGAAACCACACTGACTCACCGCAAAACAGGGAAAGCTAGTTAGGCTAGCCAGTTAGCTTAACACTTATCAAGGCTAATTTCTGAACATGCTAGAGAAAAATGCTTTTGAGTTATGGTGGTATAAGAAATCTCAGATTGTGTGTTTGTGTGATTTACCACTCACTCCTGCTACATTTCTGTAGCACTGGTGGCTGCCTAACTCCATCTTCCTCTTGCTGAGAGATGGCAGAAATGCAAGCAATCTTTCTTACACGTGTGGATTTGCATCACTGCAAATCTGGACAACACAAGTCCTCAGATGGCCTGTTTCAGAACAAAAAGGACTATGGAAATCCATCCAATGCTGATAAATTCTGACATTTCTGACATTCAGACTATACAGACAATCTTTGATGTATTTGTCATTAACTTGATTGATGATGTTGGAGAGATTGTTCCTGATAAAGATCCATCACTTAGTTTTCAGTATTTGGTGGTTTGCTGGTCAGTAACATGAATATACTGCAGCTGTGTGTCCCAAAGAAAATGACCTTTTTTTTTTTTGCCGCTTGCCTGTGTGGAGACTACAAAACCTTTCCCCTTCTTGTTACCCTGCTCAGGCTACAGTTTTAGGAAACACACCTGTGGACATGGACAGTCATTTACACATGTGGAATTAAATCTGCTTTGACAATAACCTCTGCAGATTATTCTTTTCCTTTCCTCCAATGAAACAAGCTCTTCACGCTTTCCTAGTCTGTGTCTCTGCCACTGTATCCCTTTTTTAACTTTGCTCTGTCATGGTGAAGGAATCTCTCGCTCTTAGCCAGCTCAACACGTGCAGTTCAGCTGAGAGAAGGCCAGTTGAGTATACACAGTATATGGCTGACGTCCTGTTTATTTATTTTTCTCCTTCTGACTGGGGCTGTTGCTGAAAGCGTTCACCTCAAGTCTATGCATAATGTAATGGTAGGATTTTGATATCCCATTGCAGACGTCAAGAGGCTACTGCCTCTGTGAGTTGGTCAAATATTGTCATGGGATTTTCTTTCTTTGTGTGGCTCACACTCATGCAGTGAGTGTGCACATTGCCTGACCTGAAAACTCTTATTCTCAAAGCTTGACCCTGACCCCGTGTCTCTTAGTACTCTTAGTAGAACTGTTTTCCTGAGCACTGGAATGACATAATAATTTATGGCGGGTTTTTGCCATAGAAGTCCAGCGTCACTGGAATTCAGCTAAGCTAAAACCCTTGGCTTTTAACTGTAGATGTACCATGCTTGCTCATGAAAAGCCTTTGTAACAAAGTGGTGGGTGTCCAATGTAGAAAAATTTAGTATTTAATTGTCCAATTCTCCCATATAATCAAGATTTTAGTTAACCAAACATCTATTCCTCTTCATCATTTATCATAAAATTTCTCTCTTAAAACAGAGGACTCCAAGAGGCCCGTTGCTTTTGAGAGCAAAGAGAACATGGGAGAGGAGCTGGACTCTCTCAGAGCCACGATAGATGATCAACACGTTTATGACAACAACTTAACCAGCGCACACCCCAGATCCCCACGCAGACGCAAGCGCTTCCTCTCCTACCCTCGCTATGTTGAGCTGATGGTGACAGCGGATGCCAAAATGGTGCGTCACCATGGACGCAACCTAGAGCACTACATCCTAACAATCATGTCAGTAGTAAGTAAAATAATGTTTCTAAAAATTATCATTTTCTTTATTTTTATGTTTGATATGTTGAGATTTTATGTTGTTGTACCCAAAAGGTACTGCACAGAGGATGTTAAAACTTCTTCAATCAATACAATTCTGAATTAAACAAATATTTTTTTCCAGAGCTGAAGATGGTAGTAGCTAACAAGTGAGCCATCTCACTTCCCTCTCATCTCTGTTGAGAGTTGCACATGCACAGTACAGATCGGGCAGGATGTACAGTTCGGGTAGTGTCAATGTTCACTCAGAGTTCATTCAAGAGATGTATCCTGTCTCCATGCCCTTTCTGGGGCAGTTTATACACCGGAGTTAAATAAAAGCAGATGGTGCAATACAGCTAATAAAAAAAAATGCTCTCTCTGTTTTCCACTCTCCAGCTTTCGTTCCCTGAAGTTCAGCATAGTTACCACCATGAATTTTCGTTTCAGAACTCACCAAATTTGGACCTGACGTGAAAGATTTGCTCAATATTCGCTGTAAAATTTAGCCTAAATACAATGAAGGTGAAAATATTTTTTCATTTTCATTCAATCTCCATTCACAAAAAATACTTCCTATGAAAACAGTGAGCATTAAAAATAAATAAAATTTACCTTCATTGTATTGGCCACATATCTCAGAAACCTCAAAAACAGAAGTTTTTAAAAAATATATAATTTGGTGGAAAAAAAACAAGCCTTTAAAATGTGAAACAAAGTCCCCCAGTCCAGGTTTGTGTGTTTCCAGCCTCAGATGTTACTGTTTGACATTTTGGTTGTAAACCTCATTGTGACCCTAGCATGCTGCTGCTTTAATGAAAGTGGCCCAGTTAATTGGTAAAATCCTGACTCAGCACCTTGACCTCTTTATAAGTCCTATATCTGACTGGGAGAGTTGACTGGCAATCAAGCCATTGACACTGTGATTGACTGTCTCTGTACATATTAGACTAAAAAGTTGGGGGAGTCAGTTTGTGAAAGCAGGATAGGTTATCAATTGTACTGAACTGTGTGTACCTTCTGCTGTCTCTCACCAGTATGTCAGACAGAAGGCTCAGAACACTCATTTACTTATAAAGGAGTAATGATTGTCAGTGGTATGTTAGCTTTGAGTAAGGCTGAGAGGGTACAGTCAATGTTAAATGTGCCAGGCCTCTTTTTATATTCAGGTTTGAAGTCAAAACAATAGTTCTACCATGCTTATGTCTGCAGACCAGTGGTTCACAGTCTCTCACTTACTTACTGCCAAAATATGATGGCGCAATTTTAAGAAGAACAGAGAAATATAATAAGTGAGATTTTTAGGTATTGGTCATGGTGATTAACAACCTATGTTACATTATATATAGTAAATTGACCACTAAAAAGTGTAGCTAGGATTTAAGAAAAAACTAAATATAATGTCAATTTAAATTATACCATCCACTTTTTTGGACGAGCCACCACCCACACTATAAATATAAAAAATACCTACAATTTAAAACCTTTATTTTAATTTCTTAGGTTTTTCGTAAGATCAGTTTATTTTAAGATCACAATCAGCCTTAAATAAGTGTAATGTGCGTGATATCAGACTGCTCTGCATGTCATTTAACCCCAGAGATCCCCAGAAACAATACAGAGAATATGACCTAAGTGTCCTCAATGGTAGCTGTGACCCTGCTGACATTTCTCTGTACCATCAGCTTGTTTTTAACTAACTGACTGTGTGAGATATTGTTACGATGGTCCAGTATAGGCTGCAGTCCCCCCTTCACTTCTGGTTCTTGCACTGATCATACAACAATATACATTGGGGCGAGAGCATAAAGAACAATGTCCTGTGTCACAGCTGGACTGAAGACTGGCTCCCTGGGCCACGTTTGCCTCCCCCCAGGCTAAGACAAGCTAAATGTTTATAGTGGACTAATGAGTTTCTGTCAGGAGGTTGCACACGGCCTCAGGAGACTGCTGGCTGACCGTGACTGCATGAGAAAAGCAAGAGAAGTGGAGGCGAGAAAACTACAGAGGGAATGTTTTGCTGTCCTCACAGAGGGGCTCTGAGCTCCAGCTTTGCTAAAGTTTCACATTTGATGCTGGGTCCAGATTTTAGTTTATTTTTTTCTTTGCTAGGGTCGTTGGGGGAATTGTAATTGGTTTTAATACCCTGTTGATTAAACTTACCCTGAAGGAGACATTTTTTGTTTCTTTGGACTTCAATGAACTGTTGCTATTTTGATTAAACCCCATGGAGCTCAACCAGAAACCAGAACTTTCTCATTCCAAGTATTAAGTTAAGAGAGAAGAGAGAAGTAGACTTCGCTTTTATACTGTCCCTATCTGTGCTCTGGTTCAGGTTAGTGGAGGTTTGCATTTTTTGTCTGTGTTTTGTCTTTGTTACAGGTAGCAGCAGTGTACAGGGATCCCAGCGTAGGAAACCTCATCAACATCATGATCGTCAAGCTTGTCGTTGTCCACAATGAACAGGTGAGTGCGGGGTCTTGAATGCTACCTGTATCCAGATCTCAAATATGGCTTACGTCAGTGCAGGTGTCCATGGCCTGGCCTTTTCTCTGCGGGGCCTGTTTAAAAGGACACTGCCTGCCTTGTCAGTCTCAAGTCTCAAGAGAGGTCTCCTTGGAAAACAAACAATACGGTGAGGTATGAGGTAGCTAGCCACCTGCAAATAAGAGGAAGATGAAGAGGGTTGCTGTGCTTTGCTTTGTCATAGTAACTGATTCTTAAATAGTTGAATTAAATTCCGGTAATCGCCAACCTAGGCA